TGCAGGAGAGCTGTGTTCAAAAGCTGTCCCAGCACGCTGAGGAAGGGCCATGTCAGATGGAGGACCACGGTTGTTTCTCAGTCTCTGGCGGACAATCACTGTGTGGACGTAATCCTGGCAGCGGAGAACAGAAGGTAGTAAGAACAAGTGTGCACACGATAGTGCCTATCTGCCTTTCAGCTCCCTGGCTTGAGTTTTATCTTCCAGAGTACAGTCCTTCTCAAGGCCTTCATTCACGTCAGCAGGGTATGGGTGGGGCAGGTACGGTCATTGTTCTTTACTGTAAGTGTAGCAGGGGCTGACTCATGTCTCAGGTTTTTCTGTTTGTGAAATGGACAGTCCTTTGACTAGGATAGTGATTGCTAAAACCAGCATAGAATGACATGGTTCGAAGCTGATGGGCTTGATCAGGAGGATTATAGTCCTCATGGACGTCCCGTACAGATAAGCTGTGTCTGGACACAGACGAAGGCAGAACACTGCATGGGGAACAACAGGTTGCCACTCTGGAGGTTCTGTTCAGCAATCTGTGTTTTTGATATACATCAAAATCTCTTATGTAATCAGAAGTTCTCAATGCTTCACAGTAAATTTTGATATACACACTAAATGCGTAAGAGCCCACCCTCTTAAAATCTGCTCACTCTGGTAAGACATAATTTAAACATGAAAGCAGCAGCTCCATCATTCCGGAGGGTGTGGCTTCCGTATCTGGGTGGTGCGCTGCCTCTGCCACGTCGTGTAGGGCTCTCTGGGCCAAGGTCCCTTCTGTATGGTGACAGTCATTCCCTACGGCTGTCAGTCTTCATCACTAATGTCATCTTCTCCGATCTTGGGGTCACAACTGCCGCACTGAAAGGGCTGCCTCTGCGGCGCACTGTGGGTGGTGTGGTGTCGGCTCTCGTGAGCACAGGGAAGCCTGGAGTCTTCTGCAGATGCAGAGCAGTGACTTTAATGAGCAAAACTAGACTCTGAGAAATGCTGGAAGCCGTTGAGACGGTGTGTAGAGTCAGAGTGGAAAGATTGTATACATGTGTAATATGAATATCGTGTTGTGTGGAGGAAGGCAAGCTGCTGAATGGTTCGGTTGTGCATTTCTCGTTTTCATGTCATGTATGTTAATATGATGAAATAAAATTGAAACTGGTACCTGTTTATACAGAAGTGTGAGAAGCAACCTCTCCTTGCAGGTCTTACCTCGATGGGAGCCATCCTATTTGTTACAAAAGAAGGGGGTCACAGCACCACAGATGAGAGGTTAGCCTTTTAAAATGGAAGTGGCGGGTGATACATCACATGGAACAGTGGGTGCTGGCCTGCGTCCCCTATGCCAAGTGCACACTGTAGAACCTTCCTACCTGCCTGATTTCAGGGTATACAAGTACAGCACAGAAAGGAAAAGACAGGTGCCTACATGGACTTTAGCACAAACAGGATTCTGTAGTCCTTCAAGGACAGACACACTGAGGAAGGGTAGCTCTTACACGCTGTCCTGGGAGGCTGGAATGAGGCTCATGTGGGAGAGTGCTCACCTCACAGTCATAAGGCGCTGACTGATCTCTAGCACCACATAAACCAGACATGGTAAACAGTGGATCCCAGCAGAAACTTCAGAGTTTATGGTTATCCTTGGCCACACAGTGGCTTAGGAGGCTGGTCTGTACTTCATGATATACTGTCTCAACAACAAAAGATGTGTTCTCCATCCTATATATGTCTCAATGACTTCTACTTAGATATTTAATCATATGAGAAGCTTAGCCTAACCAGTTTAAAAGTACACACTAGCCGGGCAGTGGTGTTGCACGCCTTTAATCCCAGCACTTGGGAGGCAGAGGCAGGCGGAGAAATGCTGTTCAATACAAGGCAGACAGAATGGGTATAAAGATCGTTAGCCAGTGAAATGGCTCAGTAGGTAAAGGTGTTTGCCATGGAAACCTGGCAACCTGATTTCAAGATTCCCCAGAACCCATGTCAAGATACAAGAGAAGAACCAGTGCCACCGTTCTGTGAACTAACACACACACACCATGGAGAGTCCAGGCCAGCCAAGACCACACAGAGACTTTGTAGCTGGGAATGGAGCCCGGCTACAGAGTGCCTAACTAGCATGTGCAAGGCCCTGGGTTTGATTCCCTAGCACTTGAACCAAAGAAACCACAAAACCCAAACAAAATGGAACCATTCTTCTGTTCTAGCCTATGGTGTTCCTGAAACTGATTTCATCAAATAATTACTCTGTGGGTATCTAGGTTCACGGTATATTTTATATTCTGAGGCGTTAACTTGAAAAGGTAAGAAATCAGACATGCATCGATGCACATACATATGATTACTAATGATACAACCTTGAGGGAAACAAAGACATGTCCTAGGGTTGAGCTGCTGTGATGAAACACTATGCCCAAAAGCAGCTTAGGGAGGAAAGGGCTTATTGGGCATATTACAGCCCATCATGGAAGGAAGTCAGGTAGGAACTCAGGCAGGGCAGGAACACAGAGGCAGGAGCTGATGCAGGGGCTACTGAGGATGCTGCTTACTGGCTTGCTCTCAGCCCGCTTTCTTATAGAACCCAGGATTACCAGCCTAGGGGTGGCACTGCCCACAGTGAGCTGGACTCTTCTACATCAATCCAGAAGATTACTTCAGATTTGCCCATGGGCTAATCTATTGGGAACATTTTTTCAACTGAAGTACTCTCTTTGCAAATATTCTGTCTTGCATCAAGTTGACTTAAAAGTAGCCAGTGAAAAGTGAAATCTACAATGCCCTAAGAGTATAATATGGGTGTGTGTGTGTGGATATTGAGGCTGTCCTTGAGTTCACAGTGATCCTCCTACTTCAGCCTTCCAAGCACTGAACCTAGAAGTGTGCGCCACAGGCCTCATTAGTACTGGCTTTAATGCCACTCCACAAGTATGAAAATATCTGCACATAGAACAAGAGGTGAAGGCCAGCTTCAGCTACCTTTCACTGTAATAAAAAATCTGCAGCCAGTGTTCTGTTTGTCCCTAAATACAGGTAAGTGCATCACAGGGAAGCAAAGCAGGATCTTAGAGGCAGGGTGGAGCCCTGGTTTAAAAAGCAAGGAGGAAGGGAAAGAGGGAGGAACATCCGGCTGGGAGCTCACAGTCTAAACAGGTAAAGGTGCTCTCCAGGTGCTGGGTTTCTGTTATCCTAGCACTTGGGGAAAGAGACTGAACCATCAGAAAGTTGAGATCCTCATCTACATAGCGAGTTTAAGGCCAGCAGCGTGGCTTCTGTGAAACTCTCAAGAACCAAAACAAACAACTAGAGTTAAGTATCAGACATCACAGTGGATGGGAAGTAAGAGATTGTTCTCTGAACGGCATGCTTGCCAATGACCAGACTTCCACCAGGCCCCATCTCCTAGGTCCCCCTCTTCCCAACAGCACCATTTTCTGGGGACTGACTGGGCTTTTTGCATTCATGGACCTTTGAGGGACATTAGCTCCAAACTATAATACTGAGGCTCAGGGAAATAAAAATGGTTTACCAAAAAATTCAACTTCCATCCAGGGCTTTCTGACAACTCCAGGCTATTTCTTCATTTCCACAAAAACCTGTACTGGCCAGATAGGATAGCAGTCATCCAAGAGACACAGCATGAGGATGTTTTGATACATCACTCGCCTTCCCAGATTCCCTTGGAAAAGGACCCCAGAAGCCCTCAGCAGCTTCTCCTCACACGGGAGCTTTCCTCCAGGTGCAAGGATGCTCTGAAGCAGCCGACACTCGCCGGGCTGGAGCAGATCCCAGTAGCCGTGTAGAAGATGGGAGGGGGCGTACCCTCTTCCAAATCTCAGCGGAACTAGACCAGAAGGGGCTTCTAGAAAACGGGTCAGCTTAGCCTAGCTCACACCACCTTCCCCACCCCACAGCAACACATTAAACTAGGAGGATCCCCAACACAAGCTCTAGCCTCGCCCTAATTTCTTGAAGAAAGCGAGCTGGCTGCTGCAGCTTCTTTCATCCCCAACCCTTCTGCCGTGAAATGAGGAGACGGCCGGAGCGCGCAGCCCTCAGGCTGACAGGTGTTCACTACGCAAAGTCAAGTGGATGGCAGCAACGGAAGCCTGTACTGTACACAAGCTCTGAATGATTAGCCCTTCTTTCTTTGAAGGCTTAGCAGAATCTCTGCATAGAGCTGGGTTCAGGTAAATATTCAGAAATCCAGGGAAAGACAACGGTGGTGGTGACTGAGAAGAAGCCCCCAGTCTATGTGCTATTTCGTAGGATTTATGCTACAGAACGTCTGCTTTACATTGTAACTCCTTGGAATTGCTCTAGAAATAGCTAAAGCTCCAGTCATGAGAAAATATATGTACAGACCACCTTCACTGGGGGCTCAACACAGGGAAAACCATGGCCCCACACCCAGCTCGCTGCTGCAGCTCCCCAAAGCTCTCTCAGCCCACCTCACCTCCTTCCACGAGGGATGAAGACCTCAACCCCTTCCAGACTACGACCCAGAGGCTACCCTGGAAGTGGTAGGTCCTGTCTGGGTTCCTCCAGCTCCAAACAAATGGATAATCATCTGGAACATACTAGACATACTGGGAATGGTGAAGTCTGTAACCTTGGCACTGTGGACACAGAGGCAGGAAGTGGCCACAAGCTCAGCCTGGCCTACGAGTGAATTCCAGGCCAGCTACAAGTACACAGTCATGCTTCCTCTGCCATTCAACTGCCTACGTGTTAGTTGGGGTTTTAAAAACATTATAAATGAGTATCTGATCAAGAACCAGGATTTTGTGGGCCTGATTAGATGGCTCATTGAGTAAAGATGCTTGTCATGCAAGCCAAGAGATCTGAGTTCGATCCCTAGAACCCACATAAAGGTGGAAGGAGAGCACCAGCTCCACAAATTTGTCTTCTGACCTCCAAGCACACACTGTGACAATCCATACACAACACATCATATACACAATCACAATAATAATGCAATTAAAAATAAAAAAGATTAGAATCAGATCAAGTTTAGCTGTTACACAATAAATTAAGCAGATTAATTTTAATCTTATAAAAACACTGAAGGCTCTTCTGGCTCCTGATACTCTGGGTTCTGGAGGAATACAGCGAGCAAGGTAGCGGCTGCAGGCTCCAGCCCCATCTCTTCAGACCCCAGCTCTTCTCTTCAGGCCTGTCCCGCATTCATTCCACCCCCCTTTCCCTTGGCCTTTCTTCCTTGAACTCCTGAGATGGGCAGAAGCTCTTTCCTCAGCTTCATGATCCACAGTGGGCAGTGGAAGGCAGAGGCTAGGTAGCCCAACATGGCCCTGGAGCATCAGCGGAGCTCAGCGGGTCTCTGGGTACGATCAGATGTTGGTGCACACCTTGTTATGGAGGCCGAGGTCTGCCCGCGGTCACAGAAGGCTGAACTCCGTATGGGAAAGCAGCTCTAACAGACGACAACTTCATGAGTAAGTGAAGGGCGCCTTCAGTTTCCAGCGGTCCACAGGAGGGGCAGGGACCTGGAAACAGGCAGTGTTCCGGGAGGGGGGAAGGACACTGCCAGTCAGCTCCCTGATGTGATGGCAGCTGTGGTGGCGACAGAAACAGGACTTAGATCTTATATTTATGACCACAACCCAGAGAAGCAGGAGTCTCCCGGGTGCCAAGGAGAACACAGTTTCTTAACGTTTTCTCCAGTTTCATTGCAGGAGCTCGTCTATATACACTTTTAATTAAAAAATCTGAGCAAAATAAAAATAACTCTGGAGGCAATGTTCTTTAAAGAACTCATAGGAATTCAGCTGTCCCAACGTCGGGAATCAAGAATGACCACCTGGGAAAGTCGGGTGTCGGTCAACCGCATCTAAGCAAACACTAGGGCCCCGCGAGGCTGGAGGAGCTGCGGCCAGGTGCCTGCTAGTGCCGCTCCCGCTCAGGCCGCATGCTGAAGGGCTCCAGGCGCTCGGTCTCGGGCAGCATGCTGTTCAGCCTCTCCATCAGTGGCACCGTCTGGTCGATGCCCATCTGGATGCGGCGCAGTATGGCCGACATCTCGTTAACCTTCTGGATCTGCTCCGCATACTTGGCGTATCTTTTCTGGCGCTCCTGCATGAAGCAAAAGAGGGTTTCCACGGACAGATCCATCTGTAGGAGGCAAACAGAAGCAAACACACACATTATACCCTGTTTAGCAAGTGTCTAGATTAACGGTTCTCAACCTGTGGGCGCGACTCTTGCAGGGGTCGCATATCAGCTATTTAAATAGCAATATCATCATAGTTATTAAATAGAAACAAAAATAATTTTATGATTGGGGGTCCCCACGACTTGAGGAACCGTATTAAAGGGTCACAGCATTAGGAAGGCTGACAACCACTGCTCTAGCACAGCAGTGAGCCAGTAAGAGCTGCGTTTTCAATACTCCTATGCCACTCTGTGTACCCGAGTGCGGGTCATGGATGTGCCCGGCAGCCATTTTGTGTGTACCTGAGTCTGGACATGGATGTAACCGGCAGCCATTTTGTGTGTACCTGAGTCTGGACATGGATGTAACTGGTGCTTATTTCACTGGCATACCACATGGCCATGACCAGGCAATGGGGTTTTTTATCTGCTATAGTATTAGGGACAACCTCGTAATGGCTGAAGCATTGCACTGTGCTCAGTGGGTAACCCAGATGGTGGAAGGTGAGAACTGACCCCGAGGTGTCCTCTGACCTCCACAGGCACACTCTGGCCCGTTTGCACATGGGTGAGGCTGTGTACACCCAGAGGAAATAAAACATAATTAGTGATCAAGAAAAAAAAAAAGCAATGTTGCTGTGTAGTTTTCTTCTTACAGAGAAGGGGACAGAAGGTTTAGATTCCAGCAGCTCACTCGACCAAGCCAGTCAGCTCCTCCATTTGGTGCCTACACTCAGGATGCTCGTTTGTTTTCAATTGTGTGTACTGGGGTGTTCCTTGTGCCGTGCTGTGCTTGTGGGGGTCAGAGCACAACTTGGGGAGTACAGGTTCTCCTCTTCCACCAAGAGGGTCCCAGGAATCAAACTCAGGTTATCAGGCTTGGCTGTAAGCACCTTTACCCACTCAGCCATCTCACTGGCCCCAGGATTCTTTCATAGAGAGAAATCTCAACAAGGAATGAGTAAGACACACTCCCAAACATCCCAGGACGGGTCTCCACCGGTCTCTGCCTCCTGAGTGCTGGGATTAAAGGCATGCACCAGCTCTGCCTGGCCAGGAGACGTTTTCTATAAGGCAGTGTGGCCTGTGTCCAGTGTAGTCAGGTAGAGTAGCTTCCTCAGCGCTCACTGACAACCCGAGTGCCAGTCCTGGGCACCCCGCTCTCTAGCTCTATTGCTGCATTGTTGATGTTTGGCTTTGTGGAAGCGAGCAGACCCTTGCCACTGTGTCTCCAGCTGACATCCAGCCCCAGGACATGCTGTGCAGGCTGCAGTCGAGGACTCACAGGCACTGCCCACAGCCCGAGTGTGTTGCGGCTCCACCATACAGTGGTGCATGCTTGCACTTCACATGCCATGAGGAAATTCCCTAACACAGTTCTTAGACATCTATCTGTCATTAAAGACCATACCTGTCTTTACAAAGTCGTGGGAAAGAAAACAGTGCACACAGATATCCAACACAGGATTTTTCAAAACCTGGTCTTCATCTCTCTTCCTCCCAGAACGTTTTAGTGAAGCTGTGATCAGTCGGGGAAAAATTTAGGGGAAGTCACAGCTCCTAGGCCAGGACACAAAGTGCTAACTATACCTCTAGGCCACGTGGAGGACCAGAGCACCACGTCAGAGCCTGAACACTCCCTGGAATGCCCCTTCCTCAGCTGCAGAGATATCAGCTGGACGTAAGGGAGGGCATCTCTTGTGCTTTATACGCCTGAACCCCTCCACAAGGACCCCGCATCTACACATGACCCCTTTCTTGACCAAACCCTTACAAGATGCTCATCTCACTCCAAACTTCTGAACACTACGCTCACTCCTCTTGCCCCTCTCTTCCTATTTACTCCCTTCTGCCTCCAGCATGAAGCACAGAATGTCTGACTACGTCGAGCCTCTGAGAAAGGTTTTCACAAAAATGGGAGATCCAAGCCAGGCCTGAAGAAAGCCAATCCTTCTACTTTTCTACAGTGAAATGGGGTGGGGCATTATTAGGACCTCTTCAGTGATTTTCCAATGTTCAGGAGACAAAGAGGAGCTGGTGGGAGGGGAAGAACAAAAGAAATCCACCTGAATGGGAACTCAGTGTCAAAGTTATGTACCTTAAGAGGACGGGCACATGAACTCCCTAGCTTTTAGGAAGCACTGTGCCAGTTGCTCAGTGCTCCTAAGGGCTGGCCACTGGGCCTGCCAAGATGTCCCAAAATAAACCTCTTGGGAGGGGCAGTGGTAGTGGGAAGGGATAACCAGTACAGCTCATGCAACTGCTCACACTGTAGAACTTTCTCCAGTTATCACGGAATACCTTGCTGGGAGATCCTCTGCTCTCCACCCTTGATACAACCACAGAGACAGACAGATGAAGTCAGATATAGGAGGTGACCTGAATTGACCCCCCAGGCTCCTATGGGTCATGGCTAAAGTGCTTGGCAATCAACTCATTGATCCTGACACGCATGAATGTTTCAAAAGGCTACTCTGCACAACATGGTATGTGCATACCCCACACATCAATAAATATATATAAAACAAGAAATGAAAAAAGCAATGCACACACAAAGAAAATATTCACAACATATATATTTGAGAGATTTGTATCTAGAAAAACAATTGTATTGTCAATTTGTATTAAGCAAACCCATCAAGTTCTATCAGGACACCAGGGACATTCTGCACAGACACATGAAAGGTGCCTGGTGTAGGAGGTCCTTTTGTCTATGTGTTGCTTTTATTGGTTAATGAATAAAGAAACTGCTTTTGCCTATAGCAAGGCAGAGCTTAGCTAGATGGGGAAAACTAAACTGAATGTTGGGAGAAAGAAGGCCACCGCCAGAGACAGACGCTGGATAGAACTTTATCTGGTAAGTGTAGTGAAGAGGCTAGCAGGCCTGCTTTTCATCCTGCCTGGCTCCTGCATGGCTAGCTTAGCCCTGGAAATAATAACACGAAAACTGTATTCATTGAAACACTGCCTGGCCCATTAGCTCCAGTCTCTTATTGGCTAACTATCACATATTGATCTAACCCATTTCTAATATCTGTATAGCACCACAAGGTGGTGGCTTACTGGGAAAGATTCAGCATGTCTGACCTGGCAGCTGGCTCCATGACGTCTGCCTCACTGCCTTCTTCCTCCCAGCATTCTGTTCTGTCTTCCCCGCCTACCTATGTTCTGACCTATCAGGCCAAGCCTTTTTCTTTATTAATTAACCAATGAAAGTAACAGATAGATAGAAGACCCACTTACATCCGGTAAGCCACAGCCATATGGTGATACACAGATTAATGGAGATGGGTTAAATTAAGATGTGATGGAGGAAGGTCATCTTTCTATCTGTTGTTTCATTGGTTAATTAATAAAGAAAACTGCTTGGCCTTTAATAGGACAGAAAATTAGGTAGGTGGAGTAGACAGACAGAATGCTGGGAGGAAGAAGCCGAGTCAGGCAGTCGCCATGATTCTCCCACTCCAGACAGACGCAGGTTAAGATCTTTCCTGGTAAGCCAGCTAGTGGTGCTACAAAGAATATTAGAAATAAGTTAGATCAATATGTAAGAGCTAGCCAATAAGAGGTTAAAACTAATGGGCCAAGCAGTGTTTAAAAGAATACAGTTTCCGTGTAATTATTTCGGGTATAAAGCTAGCCGCTCTTACTACAACAAAGATGTAAGAAGCTATAGCTAATGGGCTAAGCAGTGATTTAATTAATACAGTTTCTGTGTGGTTATTTTGGGAGTCTTGGTAGCTGGGAAACAAACAAGCTGCCTCATATAACAAATTGGCATACCAAGGTAGGGCTGACTACATCCACATAAAACTTGAAAAAGCTTGGAAAGGAATTCTAGACACAGAAAAACAAAGTTTAGCCACTTTTTTTTTTTTTTTTTTTTTGGCTAGCAGCATGTCACAGCTCCTTTAAGAGAGGTCTTCTTGATTCAGTGGTAGCAGAAAAAAAAAGTGGCTTCCTGGTCTGTGTTGCCAGCACAAACTCTGGCTCATTCAGGAGGCCAAGCATTTAAATGTAATCTGTGAGTCGAGTGCTACAACTTGCTTAATGGCAATATAGACACACTGTGTGCCTAAAAATGGAGCAATGTACATGATTCTCAGATGCAGTGTACCTGCATCCGCCATGTTGGACCGGGTGCAGCAAGCAGGCAGGGATGTGTTGGCCCTAGCCATGCCCATTTAGCATTGAAAAAAAAGGGCACTTCTGTTCAGAAAATAATTACAGATACACAATAAAGACAGATTCAGATAAAAAAAGGACCTCTAAATGGGTCACAGTGTTGGATAAATATATATGTAGACCTGGGAGAAAGAGGAAAAATACTAGTAAAGGAAGTAAATTGTTTTAAAAAATAAAGCAAAGTCTTTCAAGAGACAGAGTAAACTTGTAGAAGAAGTAATAGGAATAAAGAAAAATAAGCCTTGTAAAGATGGAATATACACAGAGAGTCCAGATTATATACATTGCTGTGTTTTCTTTGAATTTTTTGACTGTGAAGTAGCTAACTAACCAACATATATAATTTAAAGGTATCTTGTCTTCAAAATCTGTGTCTAAGGATATGTTGTTTTAGAAAAGAGGTTCTGCTTTTGTTTTCACAGAGGATGAGAACCTGTGTAATCTTTCCAGACTAATATGGTTTGATGGACCAAGAGCCCCTGAAAGGCCAATGAACACCCCTGAAAAATTACTTCACCCAACAAAAAGCAGAAAGCATTTGGAGAGAACTATGACCAAATTCCCTAAATGATTGTTTATAAATGTTTGTTTATATTTAAAGGGAGGGACACACTATAGAGATTTGCATTGGTATGGATCTTGCTTTCTTGATACAAAATTAAGGTCCATTTTGTTATATGTATATTTTAGCTCTTAATTAAGGTATTGTGTTTGTGCAGCTTATTTAAAAATGTAATGTATAATTAAGAAATATAGGTTAATAGTCATCTATAATA